CATTTCAGTTGGAACGAAGTGAACAACGGAACAAATGACGCTTCTGAAGACATGTCACCTGAGAAAGTTACTGTAAAAGAAGAAACTGTACCTGGGTTTGAGAAGGAAAACAGTGAAGCTCTTAATGAAGTTACTACCACTGATATGACTGTTACCGACAATAGGACATTTCCTGATGGAGCAGATAAACCCCATGTGAAGCAGATGCCAATGAGATGGAGACCAGTATGGAAGAAGATATGTACTGTAAAATTAAGACTTTGTTGAATTTTAATTTTGTGTTTGTAAATTCTGTACATTTAATCAAGTTTTTGTTAATTATCTATTGGTTTAATGTAAGTGGCTATTGTTCAGGATGAACAATACTAAGGAAGGGGTAGTGTTACAACAGCGGAAGTCACGCGATACTGGGAGCATGCACGCTGGAGTTTCTAGAAGGATCGTGACTTATCGGGCAACCTCATGAATGTCCCAGGATTTGCTAGACACTCTACTTTTTAATATATAAGCCGGAGATAGATTGAAGAGAAATAATTGATAATTGAGTCAAGTGAACATTAGGCACCGTAAGTAAAGTGTGTGAATTGCTGTGAATTATAGCGTGTGTTTATAAAATTAGTTAAGTTTAAAGTGACTGTGGAAATTAAGTGTATTACAAAGTTTGTAACGAGAAAGAATAAACTAGTTTTAATCAAGAAAAGACTTGGAAAGAATTTTTAACGGAAATTATCAAACGAGCAGATACGCAACAATATGTTTTATTTTTCACCTCACTCTTGTCTCCAGTTTTTGCTATCACTATTCAGTAATTGGTTAAAGTTGACTAACTTCTAGTTGATTTGTCTTGGGCTTTGCTCGCTTTCACTCATAACCATAATATAATTTTTTTGCATTTATGGAATAGAGATGTATGTTTATATTGCTAAAGTGCATATGACTTAGTTATTTTTCAAATGACAGAGATAGCAAAGAATTTTTGTATTGCAAGTTATAAATGTAATCCAGTCGTTGGTAACACATATTAATAAGATTATAATGACATTTCCTGAAACTTATTCTAATCTAACATTTATTTTCTGGTTTATTATGACATAAGGCTTTAATTCTTTGTTTATGTACGTGCTAGAAGTATGTGTAGAATATTTAGATTTCAAAGGTATAATTATTTATGTATTTACTCACATCTACAGGTTGGGACAAGAAGGTACATGGCTCCTGAGGTCCTGGAAGGGGCCATCAATTTCAACAGGGATGCATTTCTAAGGATAGATATGTATGCTTTTGGGCTAGTCTTGTGGGAGCTGTTGAATAGATGTTCATCTCAGGATGGTGAGTTAATTTTATCAGTATTTTGTCTGTTTTTATATAGATTATATAACAGAGAAATAGAATTAAACTTTCAAGTGCTTGGTTTTATATGATTATTCCCTTAGTCAAGAATGACATTGATATCCCTTGTTTTTTCTTCTTCCCTCATTGAAAAAATTTAACCTAATTGCATGAAGCACTAACTTACTAATATCCAGTTTTGGCTTGAAAAAGTCTACGATTTAGTTTTTCTATAATTGTTTTACTTTGTGAAATTTCCAAAATTTTGTTGGGAGACACTTATTTGAAAAAACATTAAAGAATCTTGCTTTATATATACCAGTCAGTTTCAACTTGATTGATGTTCATTAATATATTTAGTTTGACACTTTGATATGATTTAGTGGTGAGGTTGCTCATCTTGCAATCTGCTAGTTGTAAAATCAAAATATGGTGCCAAATTTGCTTGCCTTTTCAGCTGTGGAGACATTATAATGTAATAGTCAGTCCCACTATACATTACTTAAGAGTAATCCAAGAATTGGCAGTGGGTGCTGTTGGCTACTTGCCTTCTCTCTGGTCAACAGTTCAAAATTAGAGATGTCAGCAGACAGCCTTATTAGCTTTGCCATAGACAAAACAAAACAAATGCTCGTTTGATACTTAATTTTGCTAATTAAAGTTGTCACCATTTTCAGCTATGAATTGAATAAAATATGGCAAAAACTGATTTATTAGTGACCTTACTTGTCACAATGTCACTTACCTTTGTTAGGTTAGGTAATAGTATTTTTGCAAATAATAATCTTGGTCCAGATCAATTTATATCTATTAACTATAATTTATTTTCAATAAATAATAAGTTATTTGCTTTATGTGCATTGTTTAAATACAAAAATTATCATTGAAATATTGCATCAACCTATTCAATAAACCTAATTAGGCTTACCTGACGACTTGTCATAGAACATAATTTCTATAGCTTTCAAAAAAAATATAATTTAACACAAAAACATATTAAGGAACATAAAGAACATCTTGAAAAGCTGCAAAATATTCCCTTATCTCTTCTAATCTCACCATTAGATTCCTTTGTTTATCCATACAGAAACACTTTTTCTAGTAATTTTCTCATGAAGCCCAAAATTACTGCTCACACCACTTTATTTATGCTGCATTCTGTTATATTACTGTTACTCTACATTGAAATAAATAGTTTATTTATGATGCTCTATCCTATCATGTTTAAACTTTACCTGTAACTATTCTGACAGCTATTGGTCATTACTAATTGTTCAAACTACATGCTGGACATCATAAAAAGATAACAGGGAAGGGCTGTAATAATAAATCTTTAAATAGGGAAAGAAAATCATGCAAAAAACATGTCATGAGTAATTATATTCTCAAGGCATGATAGTTTCTTAGCAAGTATAACTCTGTGCTTTGGGATGGGAAAAAACATTAAACAATTCTGTAAGTGTGTTATTCATAGACAAAACTCCTTAGAGCTGTACATAAAAGAAATTTTAAACGTTTTTGTCTTAATTTTGTTGCAGATTATGCAAAATACATCTTAATTAATAAGATCTAGTTCTAAAAAATATTTTTCAGTTAAAAATTGTAAAAAGTAGAAAGGGCTAAGGTTGTTATATTAAAACAATTTTGAATATGAAAATGAGCAAGTCACAGGAACGCCACAATTGAAATAAAGTTTGACAATGTTTAGCACTTTGTAGGTTACATGATGTCTGAAAATTGGTCACTTTTAGGAAAGGTAAGTAACAGCCCTTTGCAGTGCATAATATGCATACCTTCATATCATAAAGATGTGTGCAGATCAGAGATTCAGAATTTCCAAGATGGGAATACATTTTTTACTCAATGGCATTGGAAAACAAAGTAATATGGGTCAATTTGGGACACCAAGACCACCTAGAAAAGAGATCTATAAGAAGTCATACCCCAGCTGTAGTAAGCAAAGCATGTTGTCAAGTCACCATATGCAATTGCAACACCTATGGAAATTTTTGATTGAACTCATGAAATGGGCACTGGAAAACTGTTGTTTTTTTACATTAGATCTATTATTAAAAACATGCAACGAAGAGTGGTGTGCTTTGTTTATGACAGAGCCTATTGCAAGGAAAACTATGCTGTATAGCTATTTCAATGATCGATGGTGGTCAAATAGAGCATGACCGAACAGAATGATATGGATTGCAGTGACATGATGATTCTCCAAAATAGTTTCAGTATAATGTTCTCAACCCCTGTAGAGTTTTTTGTTTTGCATAAATTTTGAAATTTAATATACACCCTGAAAAGTGTTATGCAGTCATAATAGTTTTAAGAGTAAATGCTAATATTATTTCTTTATGTTACTAGATGTAAGGTTTGGTACCAAAATTTTATAAACAGTTTACATATAGATATTGTTGTAAAAGTTTTAAAACTTGTATTTTTTTCTTTACAGTTACATATATAAATATTTGTGAACAACCAGCAAAACTAGTTAGTGCTAAATCTTCTGTTTCCTAGTCAGATTGAAAATAACAGCTAAAACTGATGGTAATGGTACACAGCATATTAATAAGTAAATATGTCACACACACTAGAAAGAATTCCATTTTATTAAACAAACAAACATGAAACAAATGGTAGAACATAACATTGGTATTTAGTGGATCTGCATTTGTAATGTTTAAAGCAAAAACATGGCTACACACTGTATTTATAAGAACTGAAATATGGATTTTGGAGGATTACACCTGTACTCCTGGTGAAACGTTTGGATGAGGGTGTCCATAGAAGTTGATTTTTTGGAATGCTTTTGAAGGAAATGATCAAGGATGGATCACATATGCTCAATAGGGTTCATATCTGGTGATTGATCTGGCCACAGGAGAGTGGTAATGATCTGACCATCAAGCTCTGGCTGAATGAGCAGGAGCTCTATCTCAGGGTTCTCTCCGCAGTGGGTGAAAGTATGTGTGTTTACCCATCATTCAGACATGAATAATAGTTGTTAAATGTGGCTAGCATGATTACAGATATGACATATTATATTATATTGTGTTCTGAACAGATAATTGTCAATTTCTCTTTTAGTACTAGCTTCTTTCCCATGAGAAAAATAAGTTTGGATGAATTTATAACAGCTCTTGTTGCATAGTTAGAAAGTCAGAATAATTATGATAGTTAGAGGAAATTGTCTACTTTTTGCATGTTTTTATTCTATGTTCTTTGGTGCATTATTTAATTAAATAAAAATTATTTATTACATTACTACCATTAGTATAAAAACAGTAGGGTTAAGTGTCATTGACAGTAGAAAAAAAGACATGGGTAAGTACTTTATTTCTTATTTTTGTGTTTATTCTTTATTTATTATTATAAAAGTAGATAAAATGTAGAAATAGGGATCTCTTTAGGCTAGTTAAGGTTAGATTAGGTAAAATATGTAATAATAATAATAACAATATAATTAAAATGTTTCATGAGACATGCAGCTCATGGGTAATGAGAAAATATGAGTTTTGTGCACATTTTGAATGGTAATGCACACAAGATTCAATTCATATAATATATATATATATATATATCAGATATTTACATGTTTTATTATCTGAGCTGGTGATGATGGTTACCTTTTGTTCATATCCAGGAAAGATTACATCGAAACTTGTACTCATCAACTTCCTCATGTGGTTATGAACAGCCAATCAGGTGGCTGAAAAGTTAAATTTCTTTGACTTTCAGAATACTGTTGCTATGCTGAGTTTCTTTGTTGCTTGAATGCAACTGAACGGAGTTCATGTTGTAACACAATTCATGGCTGTGACCTAGTTTACAAAATGCGATACTTTACCCTTGTGTACAGTGCAATAATATAATACCCAAACTTATCAAGTCGATTGCAAATAAGCACATTTACTATCTACTCAGAAGAGACTATAAGATGGTTCTGTTTGCTGCATATGTTTTTATTTTCATTAATACTGTTAGATATTACACCTATTTTTCGTTTGCTACTTTTCTTATATGCTATGATGTGTGTTCTTATAAATTATCACTTACTGATACTATTTGATGTCAGGTTTTTATAGGGCCACATTTCTTTACAGTAGGTGTCTGTGACTTGTTGGGGATAAATTTTAACAATAAACAGCATACAATTCACTTGTTTTAAAATAATGTATTCGAAACAAGTCAAATGTGGGTACTAAAAAATTCATTACACTACTGGTTACCACAGTTGAATCTAGAGCTTTAACCCTCTCTGCTCAGGCATCATTTACTGCACATGTCACTAGGTATTAGTGGCTTACATTCAAAATTTTATTAAACTAATTTTATTTATGTTATATCAATTAGTATAGCATACAATCATAGTTAGTAATACATATTTTAATAGTATATAAGTTCTAAGTTCTTAATTTTATAAGACAGTATTTTAAAAAATCATCAATTTCTCGTAGTGTGAGAAAGGTGACACATTTTCTGTAGGTATCCTATATTCTCTATTTTATCACCACTCCTCCAATAAATACATAATTTAATGTAAATTACTCACTATAAAATCGTCATTTCTCAGACAAACCATAATTTTCATAGTTTTCACTTTTGTTTGGTTACAGAGCCATCAAATAGAAAATCAGACCCCTCTTGCCACCCCACCTATCACATCCTCTCTTTCAGGATTTGTTAATAGTTCTCTCTTACGTTTAAATAAAAAATAAATAGATATATACTGTTACAAGTTTAAAGCTTCTTAAGATAAACAAATGTAGCTTCATGTTACAATTTGAAGTCCTTCTAGAAAGAAAAAGACTGTAATTTAGATTTATTTAGATTTTTATTTTTTTGGTTATGAGGTTGGTCAATTTGACCAACCTTGTATAGAGTTAGAGTAGAGAAAATAACAGATAAAGTATAAAATGTTACTAAAAACAAACATTTGAAATGTATTTAGGAGGTTATAGAGATTACACAAATGAAATTTGAGATTTTTGAGATGA